ACACACACAGACATGCACATACACAAAAACCAAACACACACTAAAAGCCCTCCCGGAGTGAAAGACGTCATACCGCCCGCAGAGACAGTCGTTGACCAATCAGGCGTTGAAGTGGAATGACACGGCATCACGGAAGGACAACTGAGTCAAGAGCACACATTCAGACGCAGATGTGCATTTGCACAAATCGAATATATGTACAGATACATGTGTACACTCTCTCTCTCTCTCACACACACACACACACACACACACAAATACACACACACACAAAAACATAAACCCAAGGACTCATGCAGAGCAGCTTTTCTTTGAATCCAACCTCACATACCCTCAAAATCAATTATGAAGACAATTATGAGGCACACAGCTCTGAAAAATGAAAAAAAATATCTTTCTATGTCACCTGGGTGAACATTTACCTCTCCACGGAAAATTATGTGATTGGAATTAAACACTAGGATGAACAGCTAAACACAAAACTGTCTGGGACTATTAGAAAAAAAGAATGAAAGTAAGTACATCATTAATCTTATCAAGTTTTAGCTCTTGTCAAAAATGGTTTCTTGCATTAGGCCCACAGGACCTCCAGTGGGTTCAGTATTACACTCTAGTGTCTCCAAACTGCTCTTATCCGCACGCACTTCCCTTCAAGCTTTGGCTTGTACACAATCTGCAAAGTCTCACCCGATAATTTCTACATTCAACATCAATCTGAAGTACTGGCTAATGGGCTGACCCTGTTATCTTAAAAGAGTCTGCTCAGCAGTTCGAAAACACATTGTATCAGCAAAAAATAGACATAACTATGCAACAACAGTAGATTTATACAAGGAGCCATGGATGTTGTGGACAAAATTGCAATTCTGCTACAAAAGCGTGACAACATCATGTCATAAATTAAAGAGTTTGGTTTTGAGGTGTTTTAATCTACGTACCCAGAGTGGAACATACTGTAATCTGAAGATATACTACATGTTACCCTTTACTAAATTACTGGATGTCAATAGGATCAGTAGCAGCTCCACTTCAAAAGTATGGAAATACACCTACAGGACTTTACTGTATATGGATAGTTAGTTTAAATAAACTACAATTTCTTATTTACGTACTCATTGTTGTTTATGTTTATTGCATTATATCAAATATCAGATCTATTTCCTGCCTTCATGCACCCATTGTAGTATCACCACAATGCTAATGTAATTGATGCATTCCTGAAAACGTTCAGTTATTTATCTCGTATACATCCAGTGCTGTTTAAAATGCATAGCAATTTATGGGCATGCCTAGAAAGAATACAATTCTCTCAGAACAAAAGTATCTCTTTAAAGGGTACCTCCAGCAATTCGGTACCGCACCTCAACTCACAAGACTTAAAAAAGGAAAAAAAATCTTAAAAAAGAATGGCTCTGATATATCCCGACGTGGGTGAAGATTAAAAAAACAATAGCTCCTACTTTTTCATTATTGCAGTCAATAGCATCTTTAGTGAGACACTCCCTGGCTGGCAAATGTCCACATCTTAGATTATGTTGCAGGCGTTGTGCTACGCATTTTCTCCAAATAAGCAGAGTCCCAGAAGACATCATCGCACTGTTATCACGAGCTGAACAATAGCCTTAGCTTACTCCCCATTACAAGTAAACTGACCTATGTGTCAAATTGGTCGACTACCCCTTTAAAATCGGTTTTACATCTTTATACCTAATGCCCTGATAAAAGTTTAATTAAAATTTGGTAAAAACCATCAAAAGAAAACAATGTCAAACTAACTAGTGTCTTTCCAGCTTAAAGCCTTACATATATATTAGATCAGAGGTGTTCAGAGAGATAGGCGGCCCTCCCCAGAGGGTCTCCAAACCGTTACGGGGGAGGTTCATTGAATGGAGTGAAAAAACTGTTGCAATGTTTTAACATTAGTTATCAAAAGTATATCACATAAAATAGTTTCTGGGGGAA